CTATGTACTTATTACCGGAGGTTTATTAAGAAGTTTGCAGATATCGCTAAACCATTAACGCGACTTACAGAGGAAGCAAGAGAATACCGCTGGGATGTAGACTGCCAAAATGCCTTTGAGACCTTAAAAAAGCATTTAATCACAGCACCAATTTTAGGGTATCCACTGCCAGAAGGAGAGTTCATCTTAGATACAGATGCAAGTAATGTGGGAATTGGAGGAGTGCTGTCTCAGATTCAGGGAGGACAGGAAAGAGTCCTTGGATATTTCAGTAAAGTTCTCTCAAAACCTGAGCGGAATTATTGCGTCACGAGAAGAGAACTTCTGGCAGTAGTGAAATCAGTAGAGCACTTCTATCAATACCTCTATGGAAGGAAGTTTTTAATCCGAACCGACCATGCCGCCCTTAAGTGGTTGATGCAGTTTAAGAATCCAGAGGGTCAGATAGCCAGGTGGATCGAACGACTCCAAGAATATGATTTTAAGATTGAGCACCGGACCGGAGTTAGCCACCGAAACGCTGATTCTCTTTCCAGAAGGCCATGCCCAGCAGAGTGTTCTCACTGCAACAAAACGGAATCCAAGGAAGCAGCAGTGCTAAGAACGACGGTGGTCCACGACGACTGGACGCCTACCAAGATCAGGGAAGAACAAGAGAGAGATCCAGTTATACAGAAAATCCGAAAATGGAAAGAAGAAAACCGTCGACCACCTTGGCAAGAAATATCGAACCTAGGCTCAATAGTTAAGACGTATTGGGCCCAGTGGGACTCATTTATCATGGAAGATGGCTTGCTCAAACGAGTCCTGGAAAATGATGACGGTTCAGAGAAGAGAAGACAGTTGGTGATTCCAAAGAGCAGAATAGCCGAAGTACTTCGTCAGTTACACGACAGTCCATCAGGAGGGCATTTTGGTGTGAAAAAGACCCTTCAGCGAATTCGGGAACGGTTTTATTGGATGAACAGTTCCGACGATGTAAAAGACTGGTGTAAGAAATGTACTATTTGTGCTACGAGTAACGGGCCTTATCGAAAAAGGAGAGCTCCTATGAGACAATATAATGTTGGAAGCCCGTTTGAAAGAATAGCTTTGGACATTGCTGGGCCATTTCCAGAAAGTGATAATGGAGGCAAGTACATGTTGGTAGTAATGGATTACTTCACTAAGTGGGTCGAGATTTACGCACTTCCAGACCAGAAGGCCGCCACCGTTGCAGATAAGTTGATCCAAGAATATATCAGCCGATTTGGAGTGCCTTTGGAGATCCATAGTGACCAAGGCAGGAACTTCGAAAGCGATTTATTCCAAGGAATATGTGATAGACTAGGTATGAAGAAAACAAGAACTACGGCTTATCATCCGCAATCGGATGGTATGGTAGAACGAATGAATAGAACAGTTGGCAAGTATTTGACAAAGATGGTATCCGATCATCAGCGAGACTGGGACCAATATCTTCCGTTCTTCACAATGGCCTACAGATCTGCTGTTAATGAATCAACAGGCCAGACACCAGCCAGAGTCCTATTCGGACGCGAGATGCGACTACCTTGTGATCTAGAGTTTGGGTGTCGACCTGGAGAAGATGTAGCAGGTGAAGATTATGTGATCGAATTACGAAGAAGAATGGACGATGTACACGAGTTGGTCCGTTCCCATCTCCAAATCGCTAGTGACCGAATGAAGAAACGGTACGATACACAAGCCGAAAAGGGGTGTTTTAAGAAGAACGATAAAGTCTGGCTTTATAACCCCAAAAAGCGAAAAGGTTGTTCTCCCAAATTGCAGCAGTTTTGGGAAGGTCCATACCTCATTATGGAGAAGATCAATGATGTTATTTACCGAATAAGCAAGATTCCGAGAGGAAAGCCGATGATAGTACACCATAACCGGTTGGCGTCTTTCGAGGGTGACCACGACGTAGATGAAGAAGTGGAAGTAAACCAAGTCCAAGATGTATCTGACCTCACGTTTGAGGAATTCATGGGTGCCTATGGAGGTACCGGTAAAGCAAGACATGGTGTTACCACTGAAGAAAGGCAAGATCTACTCGCGCTTCCCGATGACTACTCACTGGCCCTTACCATCCCGGCCAGTATCAAAGATGCACCAGGGTTGGCATCCGTCTTTCGAAGGAAGTTTGGTCGAGTTGCAGAACTTCAATGCCAAGTGCCAGCTCCTGGTAAAACCTTGAAACTTCAAGATGCATCACGTTACCTTTTCTACCTGGTAACAAAAGACACTGCCCGTGGCCAACCTACCTACCGAGATGTATGGGAAGCCTTACTTCAGTTGAGAGAGCACGTACTAGAATCCGACGTGCAAAAGTTAGCCATGCCAAAGTTGGAGTGCCGCCAATTAGATTGGAGGGTTATACGAAACATGGTGGAGGAAATCTTTAAAGACACCGAAGTCCAGGTGTTAGTCTGTTGCAATCCGCATAGTTACTGCTGCGGAGAGAAAACCGTCCCTTGTCATTTCTATACAACTGGAAGTTGTAAAAGAGGGTCCAGTTGCCGATATCAGCATGTCGTTCAAGTTCCAGTCCCGACAAGGTTCCAGGAGGAACCATCTTTTAAGAGGGGGGCAATGTTACGATTTTAAATGTTATGGCGTATAGAACTGTAAATATTTTATGACTAATTCTTTTTATTGATTCTCGTCATTTGTAGGTCAAAATATACCTGAGCTTAGCTACCAGTTGTTTACCAGAAATCTCTAGACACTAACACTAATGAGTCATCCACGTCTCGAGGTTGAAAAACGAGTCGAGCGCCTTCACCAAAATACGAGATTATTCAAGAAGTCCGCCGAATTCTCTGGATGACAACAGTTGTGTATATAAATGAAAGATTTTTATTTGGCAGTCAGTCATAAGAAGCTCGGCAACTGCGATATTTAAATGCAACGAAACATAAATTATTATTTGTAATATAAATTAGAATTAATAAAGACTTTAATAAATTCGTAATTAGTTATCGTGAGTTTTAATAAATTAGATTATAGACAATAAATTAGAATAAAGACAAATAAATTAGAACTATATAAATATATAACAATATGCCTGAGCTAAGCGAATGGAGTATAATAAAATATAAATTAATATAATTTGATAGTAAATTATTTTGTATAGAAAATTTGATAGTAATTATTATATAAACTACATAATATGTTTAAAAATAATTATTGTATTTATATGAAATTATTTTATTTATTTATTTATTTACGGATATACAAATAAAGATATACATTTTTAGAAAAATGTTTGCATTGTACAAATTTTTACAAAAAATAAAACGAGAAGTTTCATACAAATTTAAACAAATAATTAAATATTGTTATTAATTGGATGACATTTATGACCATAGATAAATAATATATGTTTATGACTTTTAAATTTTGACAATCGTTACAACACGCATCTTTTATTTTTATTGGGAAATATTCTTTTAACTTTTTACTTCTTATTTAATGTCTTATTTAATGTCTTATTTAATGTGTATGTTAATTAAATTTTTAATTTAAACATGCTTAGAATAAATATATGATCATTATATACTACTATATACACTACTACACTATATACACTTATATATAGAATCGAATTGATTGAGAGTACTGAATCGATGTGAAGAACCGCTATTTCGTGACACTGCCTGTGACGCCTTCTTCTGGCGTTAGTTCTGTGACGCTCGCGTTGGCATTTTATTTTAAGAGAAAAAAGTAATACAACGCCAGTATAGAAGCTTTGTTTCAATAAATTGTATGCAATAAACAAGTAAAACATGAGAACCGATCAAAGCATCAATTCTCATAGAAACCTAAAAAATAATATTTACGTTATCTTTTATTTTTAATAGGAATTAACCACAATTTTAATTAAAAATACGATTATTTTGACATTTCAATTTCCTCTTCTGAAATAAAATGAAATATTTATCACATTTGTATTAGGGTTATATATTAATATACAGTAAAACCATTACTCTTTTAATTTTTTTTTAAATATACTATCACATAATAAAAAACAATTGTTTATTATGTGGTACTATCACAGAATAAATAACAATCAGAGTGCCTACTCTCAGATGACGCCTTTGAAGTTTTTCAGCACGCGAACGCCATGTTTTAGATGGAAACATAGACTCGGATTGACAAATTCATAGATAAATAATATAATATGACAAATTTGTGACAAGCTATGACAGAACTGTTATTTAAATTTTTAGAGATTTAATTTAGTACATTTGAAATAATTTAATCTATTCTTCAACTAAAAGTACGAATAAAATAGTGCATATTATGTCTGTAGTTGCCGTAAATAAATTAAACCGGGTTATTTGTCTATTCACGCCAGATATAATGTCACTGAACAGCACTGGTTCCGTTTAAAACATGGCTGATTCCGTCTGCGCGAACGAGATGCGCGTACTTATTCACATTATTTTTCAAGCAGAGTGGGCATTCTGGTTGTGTATTATTCTGTGGTACTATCAAAGAATATAGAATATAGACGCTTAGAAGCGTCTATATTCTTTGGTACTATTATTGTTATAAATCGTGTGGTTACAATCAATGACGTATAATATAATTTAGAAAATTCTAATAATCAAATCAACCAAGTTTGACATTAACCACATAACAGAAATGTCACAAATTGACTTGTGACATCAACTCATTCTCCCTCCTTTTCACGAATGTTCACGATCTATGATGGTGTGGCTTTGTGACGTCCATTTTGTAGCATTGATGCAAACGTGAAATAAATTTATAAAATAAATATATATCATTTATATTATGCATTGTGTAATTTTTTAGACAATAAAAATGTGTACAAATATTGCTGTAGTGAAAATGTATGATTAAAACGTTATGAAATTGTGTTACTCGTTAATTGAATTCGGGAACAATATTGTTTTTAATTTGCTATTTTTTGAAAGTGTTTTGCGCTGTTACTGAATTTATTTTAATCGGTTTCTAATAAAATATAATTCAAAATGGATTTTGCCCAACCACCCCCAAATATAGCGATGCCTCCCCCTAATTTAGCAGTTCCACCTATGGTTCCAATGCAGCAAGGTAATTTTTTATTTAATAAAATATAGTTTAGAGTAGAGAATATAAAACAGTTAAAATTAAGTAAAGTCTTATTTTGTAGGTTACGGTAATAGACCGGCGTTTAGGCCCTTTGTGAATATACACAAGCCTCTACCAGGTCCCTTAAGTAACATGACATTGGAAGATTTTGATGGAAAAAGATTACGAAAGTCAGTCATGAGAAAAACTGTAGATTATAATTCATCTATAATAAAAGAGTTAGAAGTAAGTGAATATATTAAACAATGATTAAATACTTTTAATGATCACAAGCTGCATAGTCAGTATGTTAGTAAAATGAAAGGTTGTGGAATCATGAGTATGATGCATTACGTAGCATGTTTACAAATATTGTAGGGTTAAATCTTATTGTAAGGACATAAATGTATGATAGGGAGATACAGTATTGTCATTTCTCACAATAGCATGTAAATGCAGTAACAAGGGATGTAGGGTGAAGTAAATCAAGTATATTAACTATTCAAAAACTACATTAATTTGTGATAATAAACTAAACTAAATATAGTCCATTCGCTCCGCTCAAGAATATTTTGACAGATTTATAGTCTGAATCCTACAACACAAAAATTCCTACCTCATGCTATTAACAGCACAAATATACTTATACTCACACTATTAACAACTCTAATAAACTTACTGTTGTAGACTTATTTGTTGACTTATTTATTGGCATGCCCTTTAGGCTGTTAGGCTGTCTTCTGAAATTAGTTCTCAATGTTTTGCCAATACTAGGGGTTGGCATCTTCTGGAGATGTTCCTGCTTCACCTACAACCCCTAGTGTTGGCAGAAACATCGAGAACTAATCTCAGAAGCCAACGGCCTAACAGTCTGAACAAACAGTTTAACAAGTTAGACAATGGCCATGAAAGCCTAACGCATTTGTACAGAGGAAGTTTAGAAAAAGTAGATTTTTATTATTTTGTGGATTCTGTAATTTTTTAATTTATATAAAATATAATGAATAAATATTTTATTCTTTTGCTATTAATTACAGTTAATTATTACCCTTTTTTTGCAATTGTTCTTAGACATATTAGCATATAGACTTAGATTAAAGAAACCTGAGATGGAACACCGTTCATTGCTCAGCGTGACAAATTCTGCTTTAGCCTTACCTAAGCGATTCCACCAATTGGAGTCAACATTAGCTTCATATCGTGAAGAGAACCGCCGATAATGTTCGAAGCTCGTATTTTTTTTCTTGCCGTTAAACGTTAAGGGTGCAAGCAATTCAATTGTGAATATCAAAATAGTTTCTGCTTTTGTTTTGTTTTAGTATCAAAATGAGTCGATGTAGTGTAAAAGAATGTGTATACAATGAAACTAAAGTATGCCGACGTGATAAAAAAATATTTATTTGTTTACATAAGTAACAGTATATGTTTACTTTTTTTTTTTATATATATATATATATATAAATATTTATCTATCTATATAAGGATTTTTGCAGCTGTCGCCGCCTTCCTTCTTTCAGCCAACCTCTCCAGCCCTTACTATTCTGCCATTCTCCATCTCTAAGGTCTGGTCTTTCCATGGCCTCGTCCACTTCATCCCTCCATAATCTTCGGGGTCTACCTCTTTTCCTCCTTCCTATTGGGCTCCAATCTGAAATCTTTGCTATCCACCTTGTATGATCTGTTCTTCTCACATGTCCATACCAAATTAAATGTTTTTCTTCTATGTAGCTGAGTATATCTTGTTTAACTGCCATTCTTCATTTTATCTCCTCATTTCTGATGCGATCTATTTTTGTCACTCAGCTTCTTCTCATGAACTCCATTTCAGTTGCTGTGATTTTGGACCTGTTTCATTTATTTATTACCCAATTCTCTGCTCCATAGGTCAATATACTGCGTATCAAGGTGTTATAAATTCTCTTCTTCATATTTCTGGTAATCTGTCTATCCCACAGTACCCCATTCATTTGTTTAATACATGTTCTTGTCTGTGCTAATCTGCTGCTTATCTCTTGCTCGGTGGTTCCATTTTTTGAGAGTATGAATCCTAAATATTTGAATTTTTCAGTGCCGTTAATTTCTATATCATCCATTTCAAAGTTTCTTACTGGTTCTTGCTCTGTTGTTAAATATTCACTCTTTTCTAGGTTTATTTCCAGTCCATTTTTTGTGTATTCCTTTTCTAATTTTCGGAACATACTTATAGCACAGATCTTCTTCATCTTGAGCCGTTTCCACTTGGTCATCTGCAAAACAATGTGCACAAGAAGTTGTCCCGGATTGGTATTCCTATCCCTTCACATTTTCTTTTCAATGGTTTTAATATTTGTTCGAGGAATATCTTCAGTGTCATATATATGTATAACAGTGTCAGAGATGTAGAGCATCCCTGCAATAAGGCTTTTGTGGTGTTAAATTCATTGGAGTATTTATTGTCGGTTTTAACTCTTACCACCTTGTTGTTGTTGTAAAGGTTTTTTACGGCTTCTATTAACCTCTGAGTTATTCCGATTTCATTCATCATGTTCCATAGTTGTTTTCTGGGAACCGTGTCATATGCTTTTTTTAAAGCTATGAATGCCATGTGTACTGGTCTATTTTTTGCCATTATTTTTTTCAATTGTTGGAGTGTATATATGTGGTCTATGCAATATATTCCTGCCGTGAATCCCGCCTGATCTTCTCCGATTTTATTTGGGATAGATTTTTCCAGTTTTTCTTTCAGTATTTTTCCATATAACCTGCTATTACACTGATACCGCTGTAGTTGTCGCATTTCTTCTTATCAAGGTTATATATGCTTTGGACCATTCATCTGGTATTTCTTTCAGGTTTATAGTGTTACTGAACATTTCGTGTATAATTCTGTGTAGTTTGTCCGTTCCTTACTTAATTAGTTCATTAACGATTCCTCCTGGTCTCCCTGATTTTTTGTTCTTTAAAGTCTTTATGGCATTCTGTACTTAGATTAATGTTATCTCAATCTGTTCTTCATTCTGACTTTGTTGTTGTTTATGTTCTGTGTCTGTCTCTATGAAATCTGGTCGGTTTTCTGTGAATAGTTCTTTATAGTAGTCTTCCCACTATAGTAGTCTTCCCACTCTTTTTCTGATATGTATTGTATTTGGACCTTTTCGTTGTTATTTTTCCTTAAAGATTTAAGTATTTTCCAGGATTCCGAATTCCTTGTTCCTCCTATGTATTGTTTAATTTTTCTTTTGCCCTTCATTTCTTTTGCCCTTCTTCATTTTACTTCTCTGTTTTTCTCTTTGTACTTCTGTATGTCTTCTGGAGATTGGGTGCTCATACTTTTCATATATAGAATTTTCTTCTCAATACATTTTTTGGTTTCTTTGTTTATTTTTACTTTGTGTTGGGTATCTCTTTTCTCAAGTTTCCCCAAAGCTTCTAATGCCGCCTTTTTTATGCTGTGTTTGACGTGCTCGTACGTTTCTTTGACGTTTTTGAAACCGATATCCTGTAAATTTTGGTCCAGTCTTCTCTGGTGTAGGTCCCTTATGGATTCCTCTTGAAGTAAATTTATGTTGAACTTTATTTCTTCTTCTTTCTATTCATTTTCTACTTGGTTTTCTTCGTGTTCTTTCTTCCTTCTAGTTTGGGTGTTAAACATGTAGAGAAACCCCATTTATGAAATTGTTAATTCTTAGTCAGTGCCACATTTGGCTCCTCTCTTCACTCGGGTATCTCAATTTTGATAGTGCTACTTTTGCTGACAATTATGTAATTGATAATGGATCTGATGTTTCTCGTTGTTTGTACATATGTGTATTTATGTATATCCTTATGTCTGAAAAAGCCGTTAGTAATTTTCAGATTGTTCAGTTCGCACAGGTCAATTAGTCTTTCACCATTATCGTTTGTCACATCTTCTCCAAAACGCCCTACCGTGCTATCATTTTGTTGTTTCCCTGTTCTTCCATTTAGATCCCCTGCTATTATTATTTCTTGTGTTAATCTCACTTTTCCAATCTCTTCTTGTAAGGTATCCATGAACTGATCCTTTTCTGCTACCAGACTGTTATTTGTAGGGCCATATACTCCCAGCATCACGATTTGTCTGACATAGATTTCCATGATGAGTTTTACTATTCGTTCATTTATGGGTTCCCATGTTTTTATTGTTTTACCCATATTTTCTTGACTAGTATCCCCACTCCGGCAGCTGCTCTTTCTTCCTTCTTTTTCCTGCTCCAACAGTAGAAGATGTTATCTACAAATTGTGTACCATTTCCCTTTTTCTTAGTTTCAATTGTTACCAAAATATCAAGGTTCATCCTCTTAAATTCCTCTATCACCTCTTTGTCCTTAGTTTGTCATCCTTGGATGTTCCAGGTGCTACATGTGATTTCCCTTTCTCTGTTTCTCTTTTTGACATTGGCTGAAATTTAAGACTGGGCTTCTCTTACCAAAAGCAGAATTACACTGGAGTGTGGATTACCACCCATATGGGGAACTATATTTTTATTTTTCATCCTGCTAAAGGCGTGCATGTGTCAGGATGCTAAAGCCTGACGCCAAAACCCCCTCTTTGGAGGACCTGTACTTTCAGCCGCCCATTCTGGATCTGACGCCGTTTGCAGCTGCCCACTCTGGATCAGACGCTGCTTGATTCTATACAAACCATAAAATCCGGGGTCGCCACTTCCGCCATCCTCGCCGTACCGAAGGTCTCCCTCTCCGTCGTGACTGCCGTTGTGGTCTTCATTCGTAACCCTGGACAAGGGACCCTAAGCAGGTACTAGTTTCCCGGGTCAGGAAACACCTGGAATCTGTGGGGGGCAGGGAATGATTCATTTTCCCTGATAGGACTATCCAAGGAATTCCAAGGAGTTCCTACTCACTACCCACTTTTTTAAATATATGCTCAATATTTCTTAGGATGTTAATTATTGATTCTAATTATGTTAGCGCTACAGTTTTTGCAGCGCCTTGGGACTTGATTAGTTTCTTCCACTTTTTCCGATTCTATGCTTATTCTCTTGTCAGTCCCTTGTTCTTATTTCTTATATGTCAGCTTGGAGAGCATCAAACTACTTCTTTCTCGGCCTCCCTCTTAACACCTTTCTTTCCGTTGACATTAGTAAAAAAAGTCCCAATCATTGAACTCTCTGTGTCGTGATTTTTTGGTGTCATATATATCAGCTCTGGTATGTTCTTTTATGCGATTTACCGTGACCTTCCTTTATACCACTTTTTTTCTTCTTTCTGGTTCATGTTTCACATGC